GTCTCAGCTGGAACTCTAGTGCCCTGGGACGCAGCTGCATGGGGGGTAGGCAGGGAAGCTACTCATGGCCTGGCCGGCTTGGCCCATGGCCTCCAGACAGGCTCTGTGAAGTCCCCTCCAGCCCAGCCCATGCCCGAGGCCCTGTCCCAACCCCCAGACGTGTCCCTGTGCTATACAACAGCCCCAGGGTGCAGCGACAGGCAGCACCTGGGCCCGAGTCCCATCTGCAGCCTGGGGCAGCCTGGAATAGAAGCAGAGAGACGCTGTGCTGCAGCCGCTGCCAAGATGACTCCTGCGCCTCTGCAGAGCTGGCACCAGCAGTGCAGAGGAGGCCCCGGCCTGGCCGGTGGGGCTCAGCGCTCAGGCCCAGGCCAGCCGAGACGTCTCTGCACATCGCGGCCCCCGATCAAGGGCGGCTGAGCCAGGCTCTGATCCAGGGCTGCTCCCTGGGCTGCCCAGTGCCCAGTTCTCACATCCCGCCCACCCCTGCCTGCACCCCCAGCTCGTGACCCCTTGGGCTCCAGGACTCCACTGGCTCCTGCCTCTGACCCTGGGTCGCGTCCTTGAGACAATGAGCTGATTCAGGGGGTGGCAGGGGAAACTGAGGCAAGGGACAAGAGGGGACATTCCCACTGGGGGGTGGCCCAGATTGGGGGTGGGGGCGCTTTTATACCAGTCTCTTATCCGCCCTGGTATGAGCCAATCCTGCGTGGCCACACATCACCACTGGCCAATCCCATGCTGGTGACCCAGGGCCACACACACACATTCCAGCCTTATCTGGTGCTGGGCCCCAAAGCTCCCACTGCACCTTATCTCGGGGCGGCTCCTTCCCTAGGTGACAACATCCCCCACCCAGCTGCCCCCGCCAGGCACCAGTTGGACCCACGGGCAGTGTCCCACCCTCGTGATCACTAATGAAGTCATTAGCCAGCTGGGCTGAGCCCCCAGCCCGGTTAGGCAGGGCTTGCTCAAAGGCGCCCCCAGAGCTGGGTGCCCCCACACCTGTTATACTCTGCTGCCGACCCCCCACCCTAGAGCCAGTCGTGTCCCGGCGCCGCCTTTCCGGTGAAGACAGAAAGTGTGTGGCTAGTGCTGGCTGGACAGGACTGTCCCGCTCTGCGCTGAGCACCCAGCACCCCAGGGTCCTTCCAGAGCGGGGTGCGGCTTCCTGGTTTCTCTGCCCCACTGGGGCCAAAACTGCAGTCTCCACGGGGCAGGGGGCTGACGGCCTTCCCTTCCCACCCCTGGGGGCTGCTTTCATCAGCCCTGGACCGGGAAGCAGGAGCTGTGGGTTCAAATTCCTGCAGAGGCTGCGATGTGGGGCATGGATGGGGCAGAGTTAAGGGGAGGAGGTGGGGCTCCAGTGCCCCCTGTGAGCTGGGGCTGCCCTGTGCCCACCCCCCTCAGAACTACAGGCCCTGGCATGCAAAGCCACTGAGGACTACGACTCCCAGCAGGCAGTGGGGGTGGTGCCAAGCCCTCATTGGTGGCTCTGGCAGCTTGCGGGCTAGCCCAGGAGGTGATGTCACCACATTGCTAAGGCGCTTGTCACCTGCTGGTGGTGCTCCCTGCTGGGCAGGAGGCTGGGGGGGGGCAGAGGCACTCTCCCATTACCCACAACCCTTTGCATGCCTGGCAATACCCCCCCCCCAGCTCACCCCCCCCCCAGGAGCCTGTTATGCCCCCCCCCAGTACCCACAATCCTTTGCACATCTGGCAATGCTAACCCCCAGGAGTTTGCTACTGCTACTGCCCCCCAATAGAGCCCTGAGACCCAGCGATTAGAGCCCAGACTGCTGGGTTCTCACCCAGGGTTTGGGAGATCCCCACACGCCCAGTGCCGGGGGGAGGGGGGCAGTTCCAGCTATGTCCTCCCCCAGCCCTGGCTCAGGCCCAGGTCGGGCTCACCTCCTGCAGTCCACACCCTGGGGGTCTGGACTTGGGCTCTCACCCACAGGCTGGGCTGCGGGGAGGGCACCGGGGCTGGGGACCCGGCAGCTGGTTGGGGGGGGGGAGGGGGGGCAGATCAGGCTGTGCTGAGCTCTCCCTGCAGGGGGCGCTGTGGAGCCAGGGTTCTTGCCACCGCAGGGTATCCCCAGGGCATGGCTGGGTCATCATCCATCCCATCACCGAGACCTGGCTGCAGGCCCCATCCTGGCCCCGGGCGGAAGTGCTGGGGAAGTGTGACCTGAGCGCTCAGAGCCACGCTCCCTCACACCCCTTCGCGGGAGCGCAGGTGAACAGACGCAGGACTTGTGATCGTGCCTCTTGTGCGAGCTGAATGAGGCTACATGCCTGCCCCTTGCACGTGCTTGTGAGCACCTCCCTCGTGTGAGCCATGTGCGAGCAGAGCTGTGGCTCTCCTGTGCACTCCTGATGGGGCCTGTCATGAGAGGTGAATGCAACCAGGCGTGTGCCTCTTGCGCACGCTTGTGAGCACCTCCCTCGTGCAAGCTGGCACGAGGCTGTTGCGTGGATTTGGGAATGTCTCTCTTGCGTGAGCTGAATTTAACCAGGCGTGTGCACCTCATACACGCTGGTGAGTACCTCCCCCGTGCAAGCTGCGTGCAAACTGGCACGGAGCTCTTGCACGGACTTGTGAACACGTCTCTTGTGCCAATCGAATGCAGGAGGAGGGAGGGGGTCTGGGAATGGGGGGGCAGGAGG